GCTAGTTCAGCTGAATTTTGCTACCCTATACTAGAGTAAACTCCCAAAATCCCCCCTATCCTAGAGTAGCTGTTTCCCCAGTCTAGATAAAATCTTTAACCAATTGATCAGTTTCCTGAAAAATGATACCCTATTCTAGACCCAAACGCTCTGATTTATATACCCTATCCTAGAGTAAACTGCTTGAAAACCATACCCTTCACAGCGGCACATACCCATATAGCCCATATATGGCAGTACCCCCCCCCCCTCCCGCGGGGGGAGGGTGGCTTATTAACTTTGTTCACCCAAAAGTGGGGGGGAGGGGAGGCTTTTTTGAGAGAGGGGGCTTAATAGAGGATTTATGGTATCTTACTTTGGAAACTAATTTCAAACTGTTTCTGGAACTACTTCTCGCAGTATTACTGGTATAAGTAAAATACTGCATATTCAAAGCACAGAAAAGGTCAAAACAATCAACCTACCTAGGTAGTTAGCAGCCTCTAACAGAACCACATCAAACCCAGCCTTAGACAGCGACAATGAAGCAGCAAGGCCTGTTAAACCTCCACCAACAATAACAACTTGATTATCAGGAGAAGGACCTGTTAATCCTTTAATAAGATAAAGAAAAGTTTTTGAAAACTTTTAATGTTTACATTATATGGCTGCTGAAAAAATACTGATCAGTGGTTTAATTGTTGACTTTCGCAATTTCCTCTGACCAACTTTTTTTTACATTATGGCCCACAATAAGTACAGAAACATATGTTTAAATTAACACTTAAAGGTGATTTTTAGAGAGTACAATACAATGGATGCCAAAACAATAATGACATTTCTAGTCAAGAGTTTATTTATTTTTTAATATGTCAAAATACTTTATTAAAATCTTATAAACAGCTACACACAAAACTTCAGTAAAATACTAATAAAAAGAAAGCGTCAATATCAATACTAAATTCCGGCAAAATCCCTTTGCAATTCAAAATTTCAAGAAATCACATAGAGTCAAAAGTCCCAGTGGATGAGTTTATTCTATTAATACTTTATATATCATTTTCTTGAATTATACCTGTAGCCAATCGAACGTACCCTATTTAAGTAAGAGAAGGCCATCTTGCTTTGTATTTAAAAGGATTGAGACACAGAACTTAGGTCTGAGCAAGGACAACCACAGCTAGTGACTACACAATGATTTGAACACAGGTGACTGGCAACCACTCCGCCATGCCGTCTCCTAAACATTAAATTTACTAAAATGTAAATTATGCAAAAATATATTGTATTTACCATTCCAAGGAAAAGATGACTGGACTGCACTTAACATCAATGTTGAACTTTCATTTACTGTTTTCATACAGCTTTGAATACACTGGGCTTCTTGTCTTCCTTCTTCTGAAACACTTAGGGAAGTAATGAGATCTTCACAAATGTTTAAAACAGTAGAGGTTTCCACATAATCTCCTACCACTCCATCCTCAACTTGAAAATTGGGAATCAAATCAGGTTTGTAAACAAGGAGACAAATGTCACTTAAAACTGAAGAGGCCTTGGTATCTATAAGGCGAAATCCTGCCAGATATAAACACTTGGATTGTTGAGACCAGCCGTGTTTGCCAGCTAATTTCAGTCTATGATTCTTGGTCAAAACACTGAAGATTTCATTACACCTTTCATGTCCACTTTGCTGGGCATACTGCAAAAATTGAAAATGAAATGTTACCTTACAAGGTATAACCATTTAGAATTTATAATCTAATAACTGTACATAATCTGAGTCTTAAAACCAATTTGTCAATATAGAGGAAAATACAAGAAAACAATACAAGAGGTGGGGAGATTTTTGTCACACTCTCCTTCTTTGATATCATTATCACATTCAGTGCTACTCAATGCTGCACTTGTTAGTTGGGCTTTAAATGCACTATATCTATTAGTTTCAGCCCCCCAGCGGGTGGGGGGTACTCCCTATGATGGCCTATACATGGAGGCTCCACCCAGAAGGGGCACCTTTTCAAGGTTCAGGTGTATGAAAGGGTAGGGAATCAACTAGTTGAAGTATTGAAAAGGGTAGGAACATCCTTCATTTTGGTCTGTAAAAGGGCTTACAGATGCATTTTGAAGAAACATTCTGGTTGTGTGATTTATTCATACTTTTAACCTAGACAGAGTATTTACAGCAGGGATGTAATTAGGCATGTGAAAGGAGCACCATTTGTTTATGGATGAAATAGGAAGGGGGCACCTTTTCTGTCAAAAATGGTATATAAAAGGATGAGGGGTTGGATCTTGGAGCTCTGAGCCTCCCTGTCTAAAGCTTTTTAGAGTACACTATCAATTTTCAGCTCTTTACAAGTATAATAGAGCAGGCGCTAGGAATTAATGGGTGCAAGAAAGAACGGGACGCATGTCACGTGTCTCCCTCGCACGTCCCATTCTTTCTTGCGCCCATTAATTCCTAGTGCCTGCTATGCAGGCTAAGCCCCTAAGGACCACCTGCCCACCCCCATCCCTACCACCACCCTCACCCCTCCCAAAAATAAAAAAAGGGACAGAAAATAGAAAAAATATAGAAAAACCACAAAAATAAATCAAGAGAAAATAAAAATGAATAGAAAGCATTATTGCCCTTCTCAACTTAAAAGAGGCTCATTAGACATTCGCTGAAAAGAGATGTTCCCTAATTCTTAAGGCCCATACATATGAGAGTTGTAAGTAAGCTTAAATATNTTTGTCAATATAGAGGAAAATACAAGAAAACAATACAAGAGGTGGGGAGATTTTTGTCACACTCTCCTTCTTTGATATCATTATCACATTCAGTGCTACTCAATGCTGCACTTGTTAGTTGGGCTTTAAATGCACTATATCTATTAGTTTCAGCCCCCCAGCGGGTGGGGGGTACTCCCTATGATGGCCTATACATGGAGGCTCCACCCAGAAGGGGCACCTTTTCAAGGTTCAGGTGTATGAAAGGGTAGGGAATCAACTAGTTGAAGTATTGAAAAGGGTAGGAACATCCTTCATTTTGGTCTGTAAAAGGGCTTACAGATGCATTTTGAAGAAACATTCTGGTTGTGTGATTTATTCATACTTTTAACCTAGACAGAGTATTTACAGCAGGGATGTAATTAGGCATGTGAAAGGAGCACCATTTGTTTATGGATGAAATAGGAAGGGGGCACCTTTTCTGTCAAAAATGGTATATAAAAGGATGAGGGGTTGGATCTTGGAGCTCTGAGCCTCCCTGTCTAAAGCTTTTTAGAGTACACTATCAATTTTCAGCTCTTTACAAGTATAATAGAGCAGGCGCTAGGAATTAATGGGTGCAAGAAAGAACGGGACGCATGTCACGTGTCTCCCTCGCACGTCCCATTCTTTCTTGCGCCCATTAATTCCTAGTGCCTGCTATGCAGGCTAAGCCCCTAAGGACCACCTGCCCACCCCCATCCCTACCACCACCCTCACCCCTCCCAAAAATAAAAAAAGGGACAGAAAATAGAAAAAATATAGAAAAACCACAAAAATAAATCAAGAGAAAATAAAAATGAATAGAAAGCATTATTGCCCTTCTCAACTTAAAAGAGGCTCATTAGACATTCGCTGAAAAGAGATGTTCCCTAATTCTTAAGGCCCATACATATGAGAGTTGTAAGTAAGCTTAAATATGAACCTTATTGAGAATAGAGATGGCCTCCTTCAGTAGCTCTCGTGTGCTTTCAATCTCCTGATCAATCAGATCATTCCAGTTTAATATCTTTACAAATCCATAGTTCCCACTGGCAAAGTACTGAACAAACAGGCTACAAACAACGTTCGATAAACTCCCCTTTGTACAAAATCCGTCCTCGTCCAAACCAACAAGGATAGTTTTCATTTGGACTTTCATGAGCTGCCTCTTCCAAAGAGCATCCTTGATGTAGTGTTTATTGCTGCTGTCAACAATTTTTAATAGGGATTCCTCGAGATCCCCATTGTTAGGGAGGAATTCTGTAGCTAAGTCCAAGATACGCATCGTGTTGCAGGAGCTGCGGGAAGATTTCTGCATGGTGCGTGAACTCGTTGCGTGACAATTGGCTCAGCTTTCCGTGACGTCAGTAGCTTCCAGTCTTACGCGAGAGAAGTCCCACGAGCGAGCAAACGTTGTCCAAAATGGCGGTAGAAGTGTCGTCCTCTTTTGTTTTTATTTGTTGTGTGTCCTGTATTTTGAGCCAGACATAAAGAGGGATGGAAAGTCTACTTGCGTATAACAGCAGTTCGGACGAAGAAAGTGATAGAACTTCTAAAGATGAACAAAACTTCAAGAAACGCAAAGTGAAGCTTCCAGGAACAGACCAGGCAAAAGACCACGAAATCAAAGATGTTTGTGCAACAGAAAGCTGCATACAGACATATAATAATCAGATGGGGTCGTTTCTTGAACCAAGAAATGCTTTTGGGCTCAATGAGTGTAGTTATTCTAAATCAAAACAAACTTCCTTGAGAAATGATCATGGTTCCATTGTTTTACAAAGAGCTTTTAGTGAGCCACAGTTTCCAATGAGTTTTTCTAACCAAGAAAAGAAAAGCCCAGCTTTCAACAGGTCATTGACTCAATATAAGCATTCAAACTCGAGTAGCATATCAGGCAGAAGAGTAAAACCTTACATTTCAAAGAGGGAAAGAGAAAAATTTGCACAAACAGCTATACCTTGTAGTTCCTCCTCTTCACTTAAACCTCAGCTGGCTCTGGAGGAGTCTAATTTCGATCATACCATAAATGAATTTGATTTGCAACCTAATAGACCTTGTGAAATATCAGACGGAAAACACTTAGCTCGCGCATGCCAGCCGCCTAAACAGTTGCATTTAAATTTTGAAGGTCATTCGCAAGGAGTCAACTGTGTGCATTGGAACCCAACTAGAGTTAACCTGTTATTATCTGCAGCAATGGATAACTTGGTCTGTGTATGGGACACTTCATGTGGGAGTACATGCCGCAGGAGACTTGCACATCATACAGCAGCAGTGAATCTGAGGTTCACCTCAAATACACCTCTCTTTTAGAACTCAACACCAATACTGTTTTGACGATCTGAAAGATTAAACCTTTGTCCATTACACTTAGTACAGACATCAAACTTCTATTACGTGTACAGTAACCTTTGTCCCAGGGGTAAGAACTGGTGCTAACCAGGGCAATGAATGTCAGCGAATAGTTCTCTACACCTGGCGGAGGGGGAAGTTCACAAATATTTTAAATAATTTTGGACAAAAGAGATGGGGGAATTCAAAATTTTTTAAAAATGGTGAACAGCAACCACTGTGAAGTCATCGGGATTTACTGCTTTCCCACACCCTTAGATATCTGAAATATAAAGTTGCAAGGAGGGAAATAGGCCTTTTGCAACCACATTATTGATCACATGATCAGCTTTCGGTAAACACAAAACAGTTCAGTTTCGGAAAATTTTGTTGGCAGGAACTGAAAAAGCATATAAAATTAGCTAACCTGTAAATTTTCTGCATTATATCTCAAAAGTAGAGATTGCAAAGGCCACCAAAAATTAGAAGGATTTGTATGGGAAAAACAACTCTTGCTACCCAGTCACCGCAGAGTGACTATAATATTTCCTTAAGCATAACAAGGCTCAAATTTTCATTTTTTTATGACATACAGATTGAGCCCTTAAATGCGTAAGGGAAAGATTTAACAACAATGTGAAAATTTAAGTTTTATTTCCGTACAAGGACTTGTACAGAAAAGCTAGAGTTGTTTAGTTTTTCCCATACAAATCCTTCTAATTTCAAAATGAAGTCAAACAGAGAGTGAGTATAGACGCAAAAAATTGCAATCCTGCTTTTTTCTTAACCATTTTTTCTATACTTTGGGAAATCTTGTGATTCTTGTGACAAATCCCAGAAACATTCGCTTTGTGCCCAGTGTAGTGAATTTTGTGGGTGTGCTCATTGCTTCAGTCTGAATTTCATGTATAAAATTGCTGTTCTTGTTGCCAAAAAGGAATAATAGGTAACATCACTGATACATGCTAGTGATCCTTGAAACCTATTTGCCCAGTGCACAACGGACTTTCCCAGCCAGTGGTCCTTCCTCCTCACCCCACGTACTTTTTACCCTCCACATGGCAGGAAAGAGGCTGTGCAGTATTAAAATTTTTATTGACACTTAAGTTCAAAATGAATGACAACTGTGGCTTGCTTGTATTGCTGTTCTTGTCTATTTATTAAAATGTGTAATAATTTAAGCATGGAAGTAAGCAACCTGTAGGCTTCCTCTTCTTCATCTCTGAAATTATCATCATTCTCATATTCATCATTCCCGACAGAAAATGAACCAGAACGATCATACCTTCGGCAAGTGTTCCAAAAACATCTTCCCCTCCTCGTTTACGATATGATATTCTAGCCACCCAAAACTCTCTTTCCAGGACGGATGAAATCCTCATTTGTGTTTTTCATTTTCATACTTTCTACTCTTCACAAATTCTTTTTACTTCCCTTCGCATTTTTGCATGGTGGGGGCTTAAGGTTTGCGAGCAATTGCTCCATAAATTACCTGATCTTCTAAGCAATCGCATCAAGTGCAAGGTACAAAGTGAACTGGCCTGGGTCCCAGTGATATTCACAATCAACTGAACAAATGATACGAGAGACAAGAAAGAGGCCATGGACTGGTGGTAGTTTTGTACTTTCTTTATTATTATCGTTACGACTTAAAGTAATTTTTTTCATTATAATCAGTTTCAAAGAATCAGTCAGTTCTTTCAAATTTCTACTAGCCCATGGGCTAGTAAACATGACATTTTAATCACCTGACATAAATTTTATTTGCCTCGGGCTACCAGAGATGTCAAAACCTGCTATGACATGTGCATAAAACACAAGTAAATAGTTATATTACTTACTTTATGTGCAATTTGATTGGATACCTCAGTAGTGAATCAGGGTCAAAAAGGTAAAGAGTCCTTATTTTACGTTGGTAGCTCGAAAAAGTCATAAGATTAACCAACCTGAGGCCGATGGTGCACTCATTCCCCCCCTCCCCCCTCTCTCTCCGTTAGTGCTCTGTTCTCTGGTGTTTAAAGGAAAGAAGTCAAAACAAAGATTTGAGGCCACACTCAGGGATCAAACATGGCAACTGCCACACAGAAGGCTGTGCAGTAGTCATATGTGCCAATTCTTCCTCCCCCAGATATTCCCCCTTCTTACCCCACATTCTCCTTATACCCAAAAAACTTGAAATCTGAAAGTGAACTTCCCAATAAAGCCAAATCCTAGATCTCTCAAAACAGCAAGGTATTTTCCATGAATAGACAATGTTGTCATTTGTATAAGACATAGTTTAATGTGCTCCACCTTTAATTTTTTTTCAGGACAAGAAATTATTAAATTTCCGCACAAAAACTTTGTCACCTGTGTCCAGTTTCACCCAACAGCTCCAGCATTATTTTTGTCTGGGACTTTCAAATCTGCCATCCTATGTTGGGATACAAGAACTGGAAATGTAAGTGTACAGAATGCATACTTTTTAACAAACTGTTCTCAGAGTGCCACTTAACTCATGAAATAGAATCTCATGGCTCAAAATATAATATGCTGGGACTGCTGGCAGTCATGTTGACCAGTGCCAGAGAAATTTGATCTCAGTCACGTCTTTCCATCTGGCAGGTCATAATGTTAAAAAAAACACGATAATAACATGAACATCCTAACCTAGTGAAAATGGATGCTTGACCCCTTGAAACGCACTGCTGTGACTGTGTTTTTTTCTCTGGTCGCTTGTTTATGTGTCGAGTCAAAATGACCAGTAAACTGTATGTTTGTTCAGACAAATGGTCATCTTGGGTGGACATCGTCTGTTGACTGGCCATTATTTTGAGGCCTGGAATCTGCTGCTGTAATCTATGTTTTTACATCACTTGCAAAAGAAAAATGTTTTCCATTGAATTGTTTGAATAAATTAATAATTTTTACTTTGCATGCCAAATACTGAATAGGAAAAAAATACTAATAACTGGTGAAATGAAAATGTCAGGTAAGAACAGTTTTTTGTAAGAAGGTTGCAGATTGGGACCCAAACTTATAAGATTTTAAAACAAAAAGACAACATTTTCATATAATTTTCCCTCACAGATCACATCAACATATTCTGCTCTTTTTGGCCAAGTACAGGACATAGCATTTCTTCCTGGAGGACATGAGTTTGTTTCTGCTGCTGAAGTGGTCAAGAGAAATTCTACGGACAAAGGAATCATGGTCTGGGATTTTAGATCAACTGCAGTATTATCCAATCAAATATATCAGGTCTGTCTTCAGCATTAACCCCTCCTATTTGAAATGCAAATATGCATTATTAATTTTATATAATTTTGGGAACAGAGTTTTCCCATTTAATCAGTATGATTGTTCTGTTTATAAGTTCTGAAGAAAACACAAAGTCACAATTGTCTTCCTGAAAATGGGACCAAAGTGCTCATTAGCCTCTCCAGGGGGTACTCCCTATAATGGTCTATACCAGAGCTCTGCCTAAAGATGTACCTTTTTCAGGCTTCAGATATTCGAGAAGGTAGGGATTTCATCAGTTGATGTAAGAAAATTTGTCATTTTGCTCTGTGAAAAGACAAAAAGGGCCAACAGATGTACTTTATTGCTGTGAAGAGATAAGACAACTTCCTGGTTTTGTTGTTTATACATATTAGAAGGATGGTGCAGTTACAACAGTTGAAGTGTTCTAAACTGTAGGTATGTGAAAGGGGTAACATTTGTCAATAGAAGGTATATGAAGAGGTACCATCTCTGTCAAAAATGGTGTATAGTTATAAAAGGGTAGAGGGTCGAAGCCCGTGGTGGAGTGTCGCTGTATAAGACTTTGTTCGGAAAACACTCTGCCTCTCCAAGGACATAAGCAGGGAATTGTCTGCTTCAAAACATGTTTTCCGTTATTGCATATGAGAAAATATGCTGTCTAATGGCAGTTCTCTAGAGGTGACATAAAGATCTCTAGAACAATCAAACATAATTTGACTGATAAAGACAGTTATTATGAATCATAGCATTGCGCATATAAACACACTATTAGAGTTGGAATCTCACACTTGACAGAAATAAAAGAAAAATTATTATCTTCAATTTTTTTGTTGTGATCCAGGAAGCCTTCACTTGTACTTGCTTAAAAGTCCATCCCCGTGAAGCTCATTTTGTGGCCCAGTCCAACGGAGATTACATTGCTTTGTTCTCAACAAGGAAGCCATACAAGCTAAACAAGTTCAAAAGATATGAGGGCCACAAGGTATTATATTCAATTTCTGTTACTTATAAATAATGAATCCCATAGAAAATGGGCTACACTTTATACTATACAGTCATTTCCATGGGCACCCATACCCCTCCCCCTATTGTGGACGGCAAACTCCTTATGGCAGGGACACTAAAGGAGCTAATTGTCCTGCAGTGGGGACAAATGAAGAGGGTAAATCCCCTACCTCCAGGATTTTCCCAAATCAACACTACAGCAGTGTTCATTCATTGTACAATAGAGTAGTGTCACTTTCAGCATTTTAATGTGCAATTTTGTCTTGTTTCTGCTCATCTGCCTCTACATCTTTTGTTCATAATAATCAACTTGCGATCTGATGTAAATAAAGACTTCCAAGACAACACAACTACATTATTTTCATTTTATTATTATTTATACTGTATTGTAAATAACTTCATTAATTTTGTAAAAATAAATTGAGATTAAAAGAATAGTCTACTATGTAGTCATCTTTTTTTATTTCTATTTATAATTATTATAAATGATGACAGACTTAAAACTTAACCTAAAGCACCCTTAAGCTTAAAACAGCAGCACTATACACTTAAATAATAAAGAGAGTGGCAAGCAACTTTTTTCTATGTGTATGATTAGAATTTCAAAACACTTGTATGTAGACTCTAACTAATTAGTGAGCCTGACGACATGGGCTCAACATTCCCTTCCATAGTTTTTTTCAATTTTTGGCATGGACAAGTTAGGGAAAAACCAATCCATTCTGCTGGAAAGAGGACTTTTATTAATTAGTAAAATTACCAAGTTTGCAAATGATTTGTTGAAAACTAATGAAGATATAGGTCCTCAAAGTCCCAAAATTTTACAGATGTTTGTATTGTGGGGGGGGGGGGGGGGGGGGG